CGCCGAGCGGCGCTTCTCGGCGGCAGCAGGGAGGGATTTTCTGAAATTATCATCGCTATTTTTATTTTTGAAGCGCACCCCGCAAAGCCGCAGCTAATACTACCACCAGCAAACACCCCTCTACTGCCTTATTATATATAATTAATATAGATAGACAGACCGGCATATATTTTTTTTCAATTAGTTTGAAGCCCCCAAAACATAATAAATGGAAACCACCCTGCCACAGGCAGCCCCGCTGTTGCCACAGCCACATCTGTCACATGGCGGGGGCCGAGCGCCCCGGTGAAGCCGAGCCCCGTGGAACTGCCCTGGGCAGCTGCCCGGCGGGGACCCGGTGGCATCGCGCCCTCTCCTCGCCTTGGCCTCGGCTCCCTGCGTCAGGGCACGAGCGGGGAAGTTGGGAGTTGGTTCCCTGCGATTTCTGTGTGTGGCATCTGGTGCAGGCAAGAGATGTCTGTCTGCTTATCTCTTATTTTTAATGTTTTCTGAAAGCGTTGAAGACCTGTCTCTCTCCAGGTTTTGTCATGTGTTTCAAAAATACTCCTTTAAAGTGACTTAAGCTTTCCTGAAGAAGTGCTGTAATTAACATGAGGGGGAAAAAAAGTTTGAGTTAAAGTGAGGAGGAGGCTTGCCAGTGTTTGAGCTAAAGTAAATATTTTTATCGCTTTGATAGGGAACTATAACATTGCATATTTCCGTGCCCTTGGCAGAAATAACTTTTTAAAAATTGGTGTAGAACTGGGGTAGTTGTTGGTTGCTACTTTGCATATTCATCTGCCTCAACAGTGGCAACTAATACTGTTAGTTTTTTTATTGTTTCTTTTTCCTGTGTGTGTGTTTTGTTTCAAATTAAAAGCACTGGCCTTTATTTCCTAATTCAAAGTTTGAAGTTGGCAAACAGCAATAATAACTTTATTTCCTCTTTTTTTTAATGACCTGTTGCACTTTGGTGAAATGATAACTTCTTGTTTCATACCTTTTAAAAACGTGCTTTTCTCTTTTCCCCCCCTCAACAGGAAGGAGTGAAGACTGAAAACAATGACCACATTAATCTGAAGGTGGCAGGGCAAGATGGGTCTGTGGTGCAGTTTAAGATTAAGAGGCATACACCACTTAGTAAACTAATGAAAGCCTATTGTGAACGACAGGTATGGTTCTTGTATGAACATTAGGAGAACCAGAGTCTGGGGGAGAGATGCTGTCCATAGAAATGGCTGAAGACAGTAAAGTCTTAAAACTGTGTAGATATGCAAAATGCTCAAGTTTTAACAGAAACTAATTGTGTTGTAGAAGCTATATTGGTCCTTGGGTCTGTTGCAGAGTAGCCCAAGAAGAATTGTGGCAGGAAACAGGTATAATATTAGCGATTAGTTGTTATCTTTTGTGAAATCTGCCTTATAACTCTAGGCTGTTGGGAGGCTACTGTTATTCTACTACTCAAAAATAACATTATGGAAATGATGGGATAGGAACCTGCAGTGTGAAGTTAGGATGATCAGTTGAATAATAATCAGAGGTATTTTTATAATACAGAGTAAGCTGCTGGTCTGATTGTGGACTTTTGACTTACTAGCTTAACATTATCGTATTAAGGTGAGCAAGTATCAGTGAGTGTTTCAGGGTTTAAAGGTGTCTAATGGCAGGCTTGGGAAGGAATTTGATGAGTGTTTTTTTTTTTCTTTCTTTTTTTAAATCTCTTGTGACCTAGCTGCTTAATTTATCCTCTGAGGGACAAAATATGCATTTTGCTAACATGAGGCAACTGCAGCCAATCTACTAGCTTACAGGTAGCTTTGCAAGAAGTTTGAAAATACCCGTGGAAGGGTAATGTTATTTAACACTTCCTTCTGAAGCAGTTTATGAGGAAAACTGTGTCTATGCTGTACTTCAGGATTATTATTTTTTTTAATGTCTGCTTTTAAAACTGTTGTCTCTACAGGCCCAAAGTGTTTGGGACTGGGGAATTTTGGTTTGTTTGCTTAACCAAGATACTCAATGCTACTTCTGAATAAAATCAGTGTAAAATACCTTTATGTTGAAGTAACTTTTTAACAAAAAAGATGAAATCTAATTTATAAATATCATCGTAAAACCTCTTCAGTTTATCCCTTGCCCAGAATACTATAGCAATTCAAATAAAAACAGTAAACGGACTCTTAATGAATATGTTGTTTATAGGTGTTTGAAATACCAGTGAATGTTTAAGTCTGTGAGTTGATTTTTTTTCTGCCTCTGCCTTTGGTTCCCATTATATTATGTAAAGCACTGCATATTGCTTTTCTGAAACATAAAGTGCACATATTTCTCTGTTTTGGGGAGTCTGAGGCTTGGTTAATTGTAAAGTTCAGGAAAAGGTTACACAAGAGATCATTCATACTTCAGGTCATTTGAATGCAAAACAAAGCAAGGTTTTAAGACTTTTCATCCAAATTTGATAGAAATCAGAACAGAACAGAAGAACAACAGAATGAGTTGTGAGTTGTGCTAACTTAAAAAAAAAAAATCCTGTAATTGGGTGGCTTTTTTTTTTTCTGGAAAGGGTTTTAAATAAATAGGTTTCCAAACAACGTTTCTGTGGAGATGAACTCTTTTCTAAGTTGAAGCACCTCTTTCTGAGGTGTTTAATGCTCAAACTTTCTTTGAAATCACTTCTCCTTGTTCCAAATGAGGCATACACTATCTTAAAAATCTGCAAGTTGCAGACTTTAAACCTTATTTTAAAGAGGTGGAAGCTGTGCGAGGTAGAGCCCTTAACAGTTTTAAAGAGTCAAAATCATATATTACATCTAGTAGAACTAAAATGGACCTTGGATGGTATGTTTGGATTATCAGATTATTCTAAGTGGGGAAAAATGATCAAAAAAAAAAAAAAAAAAAAAAAAAAACAGAAAAATGCATTTTTTGAGAAACACAATGTTTGGGCAGACAGCTCAAACCATTTTGCTGTGCAAAAACGTGTTGCTGCCATGACACTTAGACACCTGGTTTTCTTAAACAAGATGATGCTCTAAGCATCATAGATCATAGCAGAATTTGAGTCATGCTGGATAATGCATTTTGCTGTGAAAAACCATTTTGCTGTGCAAAAACGTGTTGCTGCCATGACACTTAGACACCTGGTTTTCTTAAACAAGATGATGCTCTAAGCATCATAGCATCATAGCTCATAGCAGAATTTGAGTCATGCTGGAGAATGCATTTTGCTGTGAACTTAGAAGTCCTAGCAAAAAGTTTAATTTTCAGAATAATTCTTTATTAAAACATTTCTTCTGTTAAATCCACTTCTCAAGGAAAAAGATTATTATGCATCTTTTTTAAGTAATGTTTGCTCTTGCCTAGGAAAATGGGGACTTGATTTTTCTAATCAGATCTGCCAAGGCAGCATCATCCATATATTCAATTTTCTTCAAAACTAATGAATCTTACTGTATGTTTAGATATCTTGTAGAAAGAGTAGATAGAACTGGAAGAAACTAGACATAGGAGGATCTTGGCTCTATTCCTGGTTGTATCCTTAAACTTATTTTTTCTTACTTTACTTGCATAGTTCAGTGTACTAGAAGTATCTTTAAAAACTCATGCATTTTTTTAAGCTTACCTTAGTGCAGAGGCTTATTGCCTTTCAGCTCTCTTTGAATCTTATCAACTCAAGTGAGAAGGAAAAGTAGTATCTGAGGGGATGGAAGAGGTCAGCAAAATGACTGCTGAGCGCGACGGAAATTTTTGATACGTTGTGATACTCTTTTTGGTGGTTTATTTTTTAGAGTGTATAATGTAAGGGTTTTTTGTTTTTAGAGGCTTATTACAAGGTTTATATAAGGTTTTTATAAGGTTTAGTTTTTAGAACATAAGAATATCCTTTTAATTTCTTACAAAGTACACTTCAGCTGTGCATGGAAAAACTTGTTGCATTCCTTCTTTTGTTCATATTTATTTATGTTCAAAAAGTTATCATTAGATACTGCTAGTTACTCCAGGCTAACAGACGTTGGTTGCATTTCTATGAAAACAAAGTTTCATTTTATATGGTGGTGGGAGGTGGCGGGGGGGGAATACTTGCTTATTGGCATTTCTCATCCAAAGTGTTGCATACAGTTTTAAGTGGATTATTTCATATTAAAATTACTATATGAATCTTGTTTTTGGCATTTGGGGTGGGACTTGAAGACTAAAAATCCTTTTACTGTAAGTTACAGTCAGTGGGGGCACTGTTGCTTCTCCTAGTAATTGGACACATTGCAACTTTTAATACAAAACAGACTATGAAGATTTGTAGTGAAAAGCCTCTAGGCAGTGCATGAGGGGAAGATGAAAACTATATTGTAAATTGTCGAGTGGTGTTTTTGGTATGATCATGGTACAATTCCAGTGACAAGTTGGGGAGAAAACCAGTGAGTATTTGTACACGAGACTGATGTCCCTTTGTGTCACTTCTCTTTGTCTAGGGGTTGTCAATGAGGCAAATCAGATTCCGGTTCGATGGGCAGCCAATTAATGAAACAGACACACCTGCACAGGTAAACAAGCAGAAGCAAATCTTAAAATTGTGCATGAAGTTTACTGCAGGAGTTGGGGCTTCTGATTAGTAGGAAATATTTGTGCAATAGCATACATCACTAGTAGAATTTGGGTTTTTTATACATATTTTTTTGGGGGGGTAATAACTAGTTTTAGAACTATTAGAAGTGGATTCTGAGGTATCTTTTGTATTACTATAGCCTGTATTACTATAGTAACAAAAAAAAAGAAAATTAATTATGGTGTCAGCAGATGGTGAGCCATGTACAAGTGTTGCTTTATTGATTCATGGCTCTGGAGATAAGGATTGTTAAGGTAAGAACTGAGTTTTTCTGAAGTGATAGCTTTGTTTCTTAAAAAAAAAAATTGTCAGGGTATTATCAGGAGTTCTGTTTGTAAGTTTGCATGCTGTAATGAGCGAGTCATTTTCCTTTATTTCTGATTTGAAACAGTGTTTTGGGCATAAAATTTTTGAATATTGGGAAGTTTGGGTTGTCTGTCTGTAATCCAGTTAAAACAAAGGTCACTCTGACAACCAAATGGTATTCTTTGGCTCTGAGCTTTTTTCTGTCCTATCGTGCTTAAACACCTGTTCCAAGTGACAATATTTTGTATGTTGTTACAGTCACTTCATATAGAATAAGGAAGTTTTCTGATTGTTTTTGCAAGTTTTATAAGGTCTGTATTTTTAAAGCAGATGCTTCTAAGAACATGCCTCTTATGACCATGGTCCAGACAGTGTTTGAATTAAAGTAGTAAAAACTGAGACAAAAGACTATGTTTTCTCTCCATCCATGTTATGTTGAAACTAAGGGTTAGTTATTTATAGCTGCAGTAAATGCCATACACCAGTTTGATATCCTGAAGCAGAAATTGAGACTGTTTAGAAATACAACTCACACGTTAGAGCAACTCTCTCAATCGCGGTGCAGATTTTGACAGTAGGTAACATTAACATCCCAGGAGTATCAATTGCAAACCTTACTGGGAAAAACACACTTGTAGTAATAAAGTATTGTTTTCATCACTGGCATTTTGTTACATCATTGACCATATAATGTACCTGAAATGATCTTTAATTTTTTGTGCCTGATACTCTGTTTTGCTGCCTGCTTGGGCTAGAGGACTTAATTATAGTCTATTTTCAGTAGGGCTATAGCTGAAGCCATTTGCACGTTTGAATAACAAAGTGGAATTATGGCAATGTTCTAAGGTAAATGTGGAAATAAGTAGGAGAAAAAGGATGCAGTGATAAAGAAGGCAAGAGAACTACAACATTGTGTTGTCTGATCTTTTCCATGGGCGTCATATAATGCTCAGTGAAGTTGCATCCTAGAATTCATCCTAGGTTCAGTTACCCACTGGGGTGTTTTTCACATAATTTCTTTAATTTTGAGTTATGATGAAGTACTTTAGCTGCACAAAGTGCTGATTGGTGGGAGGTGGTGTTGACTGGTCAATGAGGTTAGGAAATAAAAGAACTATCCATGTTATAGTAGAGATGATGAGAGGAGTTGAAAGCCTTTTTTTTCTTTTCTGCTGTAGTTGGAAATGGAGGATGAAGATACAATTGATGTGTTCCAGCAGCAAACAGGAGGAGTTTACTAAAAATAAAACAAACAAAAAGAACCTGCTACTTTCCTCTCCAGAACTGTGCTCCCACAGGCACCACATTCACAATTAGAAAAATGAGACTTGGTTCAGCCACATCCTGACTACTGCAGTATAGTTTTCTCTCTTCTCTCTCTGATTTTTTTTCCTCTTCCTACTATTGTACATAAAGTAACTGGTGTATGTGCACAGACATAATGCATATTTTTTTTAACTAAATGGCCAATGGTATGTTTTGATCAACATTTAATGGAGATGGGGTGGGAAAACAAACTGGTTCTGTGAAAATGCCCCTTTCTCCGTTAGTGGCATGCTCCTTCTACTTTTATCTTTATATTCCAGTAAGTTATTTTGCTCTCACTGTTTAAAAACAAAAACCTTGCATACCTTGTTTGATTGGATAATTTCAATGTTTTTCTTTTATCATTGTAAAACCAAGGACAATTTTATAACTTTTTTGTACGTAGCTGTTACATGTAGAGCAATCTCTGTCTAAGTAGGGGTAAATTACTCTTAAAAAAAAGAAAAAAGAAAAAAAAATCCTAGATAGTTTTCCCTTCAAGTAAAGCGTCTTGTTGTTTAAATAAACTTCTTGTTTAAAATAATCAGTTTTCTTTATTTTTCTGTAGAGTAATAGTATTCAGCACTTGTAGTTCTTTCTCTGCAGCACCTTATGCTCTTTAATTCTCAGAGTTCTCTGTGTGGTAAGTAAATAAGCATAATCCCCTTTTACAGTGGGGAGATTGTCAGAAATTGAAAGGCTTCCTTGAGACCTCGCGGTCCATCAACAGTTGAACTAGAAATAGAAGCCCGTTTTCTCTTTTGATTTGTGTGTATGTTCTGTTAAGCCAAAAATGTTTGACTAGGCAAACTGCAAAATACTGGACTATTTACTTATGGCTTTGGGTTGAGCTCTTGTCAGTTCTTAATAGAAACATCAATGTTGTTGTTATAGCTTATTTAAAACTCTGTATTTGAATGCTTTTTGATGTAAACATTAAGTTATAAAGGAAAATCATTTTGCTAAGCATTCAGTTTTCCATGCTATCAAATGAGAGATGCTTGAAAATGTAAAGCAAAAATAAAAAAATGGAGTTCTCTTTTTGGGTGTATTCAGCTATGATGATGAAGATGCCAAGCTCTGCTTTGCCACTGTGGCCTTCCTGCATGAACGGGGAAGACGCTGCCTCCCTTGAAGTACCGAAGGGAGCTAATGACAGTGGTGTTTTCCATGAGTCTTTTCCACAAGACTGTTGTTTTTGAGTTGCCTCATGGGGAAGGTGAGGGATTGCAGTAAAATCTGTGAAATATGATACAACTGTCTACTCGGCAGCCCCAACCATTCTTTGGTTTCTTAGGAATGTTCTGATGTTTGTGGTAGTTGCAGTAAGCTGGTGCTGTCTTTAGATATTAACTAATTGTCAGAGCTCACTTTTTGGTGGTAGTTTTTACATTGGTTAATTCAAGAGGTGATTATTATATGCCAGGGTCTCTGCCTGCTAGATCTGGAGATGCTTTTACTTTGTGGCATGACTAAATTACTTGGTGGGCATTTAGATGATCTGTTTGTGTTACAACTTTGATAACATGCTTGGTGAAATATTCATCTGATTCTTCTAATGCAGATTATTAGAAGGTATGTTTTTGCACTTGCTTTTGACTAACTGTGCAGCAGAAGGATGTAACTTGTATGATGTTCTTTTTTTATTTTATTTTATTTTTAAGGAGTTCCACTGCTAAGCAGGTTGTTCTTATTCTGGTACACACCTTCCAGACTTCCATGTTACATTTCAAAGTTGGAATTGCTTCTAGTGAACAAATGTTTTCATATCCAGAACCACAAAGGCCTGGAAACCTTTTCTTTTAAAAAAAGGCATATACTTCACCACCCTTAGTTCATTCCTAATGTTGTAGGTCAGATAGGGAGTACATTCCTGCCTGGCTTTAGAATATCTGGCTTTCAACCTGACTAGATATCTGATAAAAATTTACAGAATTCTTTCAACTTGATATCATGCCAAGATCTTCTCTTAGGAGAAAGTTGTCTTTATTCAGCCAAGGGAAAAAAAAAAAAGATGTTTGGACTTGCTTTTGTTTCTGAAGAAAGGGTGAGGTAGTTCTAGGTACAGTTTTACTCGGCCCAACTTCACACTGTGGAGCTCAAATCTCCCTGTTGCATCTTGTCTCCTGTTTTTTCTTTCCTGAAGCATGAATGTAAAATGCTAGGCATTGAGCAGCATGCTTTCAAAAACAATGTCCGAATTTAATGAAGTAGTATGGTGGTGCTTCATCTGTCATTAACTTATGTGCAGTTTCTTGTAAGTTCTGCACACCATCTAGCATGAATTTTGACTAGCTTATTGAAATTCCTCTGTGATTAAAAAAAGTAGGTTTCTGAACCAATAAATAGATGCAACAGCTTTGAAAATATTCCTTAGTTTAGCATAAGATGAAATTTCCGTTAGCATTTAGTAACAGATTATTAAACCAAAAAAAAAGATATTGGGGGAAAAAAATAGATTCTGTTCTTTTCTGCATCTTTTTGCTATTCAGGTTGAGATTGCTCCTGGAATCTTTGAAATAATTCATCTAACAGTACTGAGTGGTGTTTATATAAGATGGTTACTGCAACCAAAAACTGATAAAAGTGGCCTTTTCAATAGCTGTTTTCCTAATGAAGTCAATAAATCCAAAGAACTTAATTGATTCAAGAGCCTGAAATGTTTAGTTCCTATTAGTCTAGCAAACAGCTTAGCTTGGGCTGACGCATTCTGATGAATAATATATCTGTTCCCACAGCCATGTAGAAATAATAACCTGTTTTTCTTTTCAAAACAATTGTTAAAATTCTTTGGTGATTTTGCAAATACTCTGCGTTTGATGCTTATTCTCATTTCTAACAGTTCTTGTTCTTTACACTAGTAGCCTAACGACTACTAGAAGTCCACACAGGAGAGGATAAAAAACTGGCCAGTGAGTTTTTGTTGATAGACGAGTCATAGAATCATTATGGTTGGAAAAGACCTTCAAGATCATCAAATCCAACTGTAAGTCCTTTATGCTTATTAAAGAGCTGGAATGTTCTAGAGCCTGGGCAAATTAATTTATTACCCAAATTTCAACAAATGTATTCTGAAGTGTTTGTCATGTAATTTGGGCCCAAAGCTTTTATTCCTCTCAAAATTTTTAGATGAAGAAACTGGAATAGGTCATGTTAATTGGATACAACACTCTAGCAAATTGTTGTGGTTGAAAGGACCTTGCCTTTAGCATATACTTTAGCATCTCTTGCTAAAGTATAAACTTGAAGTTTCTGTTGTGAAATGGGCTCAAAATAGTGGTTGAAAGGACCTTGCCTTTAGCATGTACTTTAGCATCTCAAACACTTGCAGTTTCTCTTGTGAAATGGGCTCAAAATGCCTTTTTTCCCCCATTATTTAAAAGGATATAACTAACGTTTTCAGGCATGTATACTTAAAAGTACGACATTTTTCATTCATGTACTGGGAGGACAGAGATTGAAAACCCAGCTGGTGTCATGGAACACCCCCAGTCAATTAACACCTGAAAATCAGATGCAGATAATACCCATTTTCAAAGGCTGTTATGAGAATCAATATTAAATGGCTTGTGATGCTGATTCCAGGGTGGTTCTAGAAGTGCAAAGTATTATGCTGTGCCTGACAGAGTGTTCTGAGATGGAATATGCTAATCTAGCAAAAGTGTAAGAAAATACTCCAAGTGGTAACATGAGAGACGTTCTTGTACTGGCGTATAGAGATATCGCTGACAAAAGAAAAATTGTTGGATTGGTACAAAATAATCACTGCTACAAGATATGCACAAAGTCAGGACATGTGCAACAGCTCTGCAAGGTTATGGTCAAACCAGATTGTTTTCTTACAGCAATATTCATTTCTGACACCTTCACTTCATTACTCCCCAGGCAGACAATGTAATGTAAGTACTGTCATTATGGCCATTGCATCCTGGTTCTATTGTGACCATTACTGCAACATTAATGAAAAGGTATAGTGTGACTGACTCAAAGAAATAATACTTCATGTGCTTCAGCCTCTTGGAAACAAATTTCTAAGGAACAGCGTTTTGTTTTCAAAGCCAAAAAAAATGAATTAGATCCTTGATGTCCGCCTGTTAGAGTGAGCAATAAATTGAAGGATTCATGTTAACAGTTTTAGATTGTCACCTCTTAGCATGTTTGTGTGAACTTATGTGATAGGGTCTTCTGGAGGAATGAAACTAAAGAATTTAAAAGCATTTAAGTAACTTGTAGTATTTCTAATTGTATTGCCATTGTGATCACTTACATTCCAGGGTGTGTGTTACTGTGATTAATTCGCTCCAGCTGTTAACTAGTTGCCCATCTGAGTGTGTTCTGATCAGTGAATGACTTAATCCTTCGGTTTATTTTGTGTTTGTACTTAGTGTCAGAGTGGATTGGTGGCACAGCACTCCTCCCTAGTGGTTAGGTTGGAGAAATGTGAGGATGAAAGACTGGGGTTCAACCCCCATTTTAGGGTTTTAGTTGGTCTGAACCAAGATACTTAATTTTTGAGGCCTAGTTTCTTCATTGGTAGCAGGGATTTGTGCTTTCACTCAAACATGGAGCTGCTGGGAGGTCTAGCTGCTGCATATGAAATGGTTTGAGACCTTTGAGGAGTTTTCCTCTACCCCTGAAGAGCCGCAGTTCATGCAGGAGGGATCAAATGAATCAGGAAGGCCATGAGAGAAGGAGAGGTGACTGATGGTGCTACAAAAGTGGCTCAATACCAGGAGAAATCCTTAAAAATAAGGCAGCTTTGTGGAATGCTGTAGAGGCAAAACACAGGTTGGCTGAGAGCTGCAGTGGGAATGGTGGCTAAGGGAAGAGCTGTGGGTTTTGACAAACGATCAAGCCTGATGCGAGGGTGCCTGGAGCCCTGGGAAAGGAGCAGGGTTGTGTAGGAGCTTGAAGAACTAAGGTGGGAAAGAGATTATTGCTCCTAAGTAAAG